TTAGTTTAGTTTGATATCTTACTTCTTATTCCGCACATATCTGTTTCGTTTGCATACGTGCTGGTTATATGAATACTAATGAATATTTTTTGAATAACTTTTGATAGGAATAACATAGACAGATGCGGTTTTCACTATTGGAAAGAGCAGATGAGGATGTATCGAATGGTATATTACCGGGTTTTCTAATATGATTTCTTAACTTTTTTTATTCAGTGTCGGAAAAATGTTTTTCTTTTGAAAAAACGATAAATCAAAGAATAATGGTTTTTTTCACCGATTTCGCTATAAAATTGTACTAGATGCTAGACTAGAACACATATCCTTCATCTGAGCCTTTCGCACTTTCTAGATCTTCAATTAGTGATTTGAATTTATACTTGATAATTGAAAATTCATGGTGAACAACTTACTAGATAGATTGGTGTTAAAAAGGTGAATTGAAAACCTTACAAAAAACATATCAGAAAACCCTGGAATATATGATTCGATGTGTCTTCATCTCTTGTTTCCAACGGTGAAAACCGCAGTTTTCTATCTTGTTTCTAGCAAAAGTTATTCAAAAGATGCTCGCTCGTAGTTTTTAAAATTAGTATTAATATTACCAGGACATATTATAACGAAACAGATCTTATCGAAAATTTAATATTATGATATTAGCTGAAGTATGATCAAATAGCATAGAAAAATAGAGCATTCTTTTCTCTATCAGACCATATAGAAAGAAAGTTTCTTTAACCTTTCTATAAGGGAAAAAATACCACTGCCACTACTTTTGGTATGCCCTAAGTATTTAACTTTTCATGTTGAATTCGAATACCATACGCCATGTCACATTTGACCAGATGTTTTAGCTGTCAGTAACAGTTGACACAGGGATACATGCTTCAGCCGATATTTGTCAAACCTATCTGTGATACATTGTATCTAGTGTATATAAAAAGTGAATAATATTTTATTTTATCACACAAAAGAATCTATAAATGATAATTGTTTTGCAAATTTAAGAAGTAGAGAAAATGACATGTGTTTAAACTATATTAATAAATAATTTTTATTATGTTCACAGTTACCAAGCTATTTTAGCTAAAATCGATTTTGGATATTTTCTTATATAAAATTTTCTTAGTTCATCTAATATAAATAATAAAGCACCAAAGCCAAGTGCCGGCATAACATATGTAACTTGAACTGGTACAGTTTTAAATTGTGTATTAAACCATGGTATCAATGTTACAACAAGAGCAACCGTTGTTGATGCCAAAATTCCACATAGAACTGTTAAATTTCGTCCTTTACCAAAAAATGGATTATGGGTGAAAAATGATGCATATCTTGTACGACTACCTAGAACAAAAACTAAAGTTTATCGGAGCCGACCACAACGACATGAAATTCAAAATCCTCTATGTAATTGTTGATCGATAAAATGAGAACGGTTGCGGTCAGTAAGTAAAAAACTCTACAAAGAGGTATTACAGGCCGTTCACGAGGGACTGTCTGTCTTATTGAAGAGGAAAGGTTTTAGACGTGAAAGTCGAACCTAACCAACCCGATATTTGCACGAAAGCGTTTCTTTGCCTCAAGAATTTTTTGAAAAAACTATGTGATCATGAATTCTGAACAAACGTTTTGGAAAACGCGACAAAAGAGTTTCAGAAAGTTATTGATGGCCTCCGATACTGCTACAGGAACAGCCAGACATGCTTTTTTCATTTGATCTGCAGTCGACTGTGCTGTGATATTTATTTATTCACATCTGAAACTCGATCAGAAGGTAGGAACGATTTTTTTCTTTTAATGTTATCTTTATTATTATTCTTTTTTGATCATTCATCGAGCCCGGAATATTGCGAGATATTTTGTTTTTGGAAAATTTTACGAGATCGACCAAAACCCGTCAGTTTTGCTCATTGAAGTCTTAAAAGAGATTATTTGAGAGAATATCGAGCAACTGCCCAACAATGCAAAACAAAGATTCTTTCCAGCAGTTTTCTTTCTATTCGTCGTTGAGAAATAGGTGTATGAAAAACTTAAACAGTTCCAAGGCTGAAAACTGGCATAGTCCCCACTTTAGTATACGTTCTACTAGTTTCCCAACGCAATTCGAGATATATCCTTCCAGTATCCAACTAGGATTTCGCTTTAATCTCTTAGGATCCTAACAAAATCATACAGATTCCTAATGAAATCAGGTATATCCGAAAGTCGCAGGATTTTCTAAGACTCTGTTAAGATCTTAAGATATTAAAACGAAATCCAACTAGGACCCTTGCGTTTTAATATCATCTCAGAGAGTTATTAGATAGATCGAAAATGTTAGGATTGCCTAACATCCTAATAGGAAATAGACAACAAGTGCGCAGGATTTTGTCTAGGGTATTTGTGCAATTTTCACGATTATAAATCGGAATAATAATCGCAACATTATAAGAAAGAAATTGTTTCCAACTTCTAATCGAGTTTCTGATGTGAGCAAACAAAGGACGGGAGTCGATAAAAGGCAAAATCGGCCCCCTCTCAGATCAAGCTCATATTCACAAGTCTGATGTAGTTCTTCTTCGTGATTAAAACTAGCATCTCAAAAAACCCATTTTCAGCCCCCTGGAAAAAATTTCGCATCCAAACTTTTCTCCCCTTAAATGAACTTTATTTAGAATATTTTCCCCATTTCTTCTCTCTGCCCAAAGCAAACATCAACCACTGTACATCATTCGATAGAGAATTCCGCGGGCTACTATTGAGAACAGATGGGGCGTGGGTGCTCTAACACTAGAAATACTGGCCCCGACCTCCACAAATCCATAGGTCAACAGCGTTATAAGCAGAATTTTGGAAAATTTAACAAAAAGAATTTCAGAAAGTTTTGTTAGCCTCTGGTACTGTAACACCAAGAACCAGAAATATGTTTTTTCATTTTCGGTATCAGTCACTTACGAGGGACCCTCCCGAAGTGACACCCTCCGTTTCTAATGAGTTATAACTCAGTCGATGGAGTATATCGAGCTAATAAAAAGTCTAAAAGGATTCGGACTCGTTACTTTTGAAGACCGGGTTTTCTGGAAAACCAGTTTTTCAGAAACTCTAAAAAATAACCAAAACCTTTTCTTAGTAAAAGATAATTGTAGTCTGCACATTTCTCATTAAAAGGAGACATCTCCCAGCTCTACACGACCTTTCTTTGCAAAGTTAAAGAATTTACAAGAAAAGCCCTGTATGTTCATTGTCACCTCAAAGCTACAGAA